CCCCCCCCGGTACGCGTCGCCAATGATTCAGTGAGATAAACCGAGACTACTGAAGTCTGGAATTCTTTCGTTTGTTCCTCTGCGAATCCTTTTATCCACAGTGTTTCTTTGTTTTTTTCTTGGAATTCCAGCCTTTCTGCCAGTTCCCTTGTAATAAAAGATAAATGGGATCCTGCATCAAAGAAAGCTGTCGCAACTTCTTTCTTTTTATGCGTTCTTGCTGTGCAACGCCATAGCGCTGCTACAGCTAACTGTCGAGAGACTGTCTGTGTGTGTGTTCGGAAAGCGACTGCATTTTGTTACCCACTTTCATCTCAGCAACCTGGAAAGCTAGAAGGCTGAAACTTTGGATATATGCTCCTACCTCGTGTGTCATCCTCTCGTTTTAAGATCATTCCCCATACGCGCCTAGACCTCACGTACGGGACCCCCAGAGAAATATGTCGGCGGGGAGCGATTTCGCGAACCAGGCTACATAGAAAGCTGAAACTTTGAAGGGATATTCTCCATGCAAGTGCGAGATGAAAATTTTTAACTCAGCTCTCTAGCTCCCCAACAACAGCCTCAAGCAGCTCCTCAACCCAAAATCGTTAGCAACTCGGACCCGAACCGCAATTGCATATGTAAATGAACATTTGTTCATTTGCATACACGGATTTTTTGACAAACAACCGCTCGAGCAATACTTCCACTTTTTAGTGAGCTAGAAGTTTGCATTTGTCATTTCTTCACAAAGCGAGCATTTACCGAAAAAACGACCGGATTTCATGCAAAAAAGCGGTAATCATGCACCTGGATGTTCGTACTGCTCTATAATGCACCACCTTCATCTCAACCGACGCCCTTCCTCCTGGATGCTGGAAGGGGGCAAAGCAAGGCCAATATAAGTCCAAGTGTTAGACTACAGCGCAGGGATCATTCTTGCTAATAGTGATCTACGAGTTCAGTGCAAAAACGCATGGTCGCAGTGGAGAACCTGGTGCGTTCCAACCTGAGTTTTTTTGCTTAGTCACTCTGCTAACCGGTGTTTTCTGTACAGTCACATACCAACAGTCACAGCAACAAGAGCAGAAAAAAGCCGAGAATGCCACTACATAGTGTACGTTCAGGATCGCTCCGCAGTAGTTCACGAAGTCGCAGAGAGAGATCACGTCGCAGCGTAACCACCACACGTCGCCGGAGTACAGCACGAGCTGTAAGTTTGTCACGAAGGCGTCGAAGATCTCGAACGCGTAGCAGATCATGTCGACGTATCGGCTCACGTCGCCGCCGTTTCTATTCACGTCCTCGCCGAATCATAAGACGTCGTCGTTCCCGTTCTCGGCGTTCCAGCTCTCGTGTTCGCCGTCGTCGATATAGCCGTCCCCGTTCTCCATCCAAACTGCGACGGAATATTTCCTATTTCGCTGTCCTTCGGTATTACATTCAATTTATAAATACTTGTTTGTTCCATTCATATGAAGAGCCATTCAGATGAATAGGGGCGCTGTTTGGGAAGAAGGAAGTAGCAAGGGATCAGGTAAGAGAGGAAAATTGGTGGAGCTGAAAAAGCAAACTGAAAGAGATATGATAACACAAGCAAAATTAACTGCACAAAGTTTCTTAGCATAAGTCATTCTGAAATTCAAAGGCTTCTTGACAAACATTAACTTTTTGTGCAGTGGTGTGGAATTTTAAAAGCAAAAAAGTTTTGCAATCATAAAAAGAGCAATTCAAAAAATACTTCAGACCCCTAAGAAGCAGGAGACATAGACGTAGACGTCGTAGTCGTCGGTCCAGATGAGGAAAATGAACCAAAGTTTAACGCGGCTTGTGACTTTATCCTGAACTTTATCCTGAACTAATATCTCTTTTGTGAAATTTATAGCAAGAATATCACATCTCCAGAACAAATAGTTTCAATATCCCATGTCAGTGATGTTACTGGAATGCTCTCGTGCACCATTTCGCGGACGGGACCTCTTTTAATTTTTAAAAATAACTGTGGACCGGGATTTGCTCAACCACGTCTTAGCTTAATCGACCAATCGTATAGCCTCCAAATAGGTAACGCATATAAATAGAAAAACGGTGCATTTTAAATATGCTTCAGCATTGTGAAAACAACATATCAAAGAGTAAAAGGAAGTGT